CTTATTCTCCTGCCTCTAGAATACAGGTTATAATACAGATATTATCTGTCACAATCAGTTTACGAAAGGCTTGTGATTTGTACCCAGAGTGCTGTATAATCTAAGCAAACATCCTACAATCAGAACTGTTCCATAGTCTTAGTGCATTTTAAAATTGAGAAATATTTGACTTTAATTATGCAAAAAATCACAGAGCTAATATTTTTAATTCTGTATATTGAATTAGAAATACAGAGTTCTCAATTTGTTTTTATTTTTAATTTTTGAGATTGTAATATAATTATATATTCTCTCTTACCTCCTCCAAATCCTCCCACACACTCTTTTTCTCTTTAAAATTCATGGAATACTTTTTCATTAATTGTTGTTACATGCATATATGTACAAGTATTTGCATATACACTCCTAAATATAACACGCTTTGTACATACTTGTATGTATGTTTTCGGGGTTGATCATTTGATTTTGGATAAATTATTGGTGTACTCTTTACTGAGAAAGACTATTTCTACCACACTCAGCTTTCCTTAGTTACCTGTAGTTTTATATATTTATATCTACAACTATAACTGTACCTATATCTATCAATATCTATCTATTTTACATATCTATGGAAAGAGAAAGAGAGAGAGAGAGACTGGGTCTGGCTTGAGCATTGAATCAGAGAGCAAGCCACTGAGTCCATGTCAAAGAGAGTCCCTGCTCACTTTATTAGGGTATCCACATGAAAAATGAGCTTCCCATGGGCTACATCTGAGCAGGAGATCTAGATTATCTCCACACATGGTTGATTCATCAATCTCTGCAGGCCCCCTTGAGCTCCAGAGATTTTGGCTCTGTTGGTCTCCTGTGGAGTTCCAGTCCCCTCCAGATCTTTCTACTTCCTCCCCCCTTCCATAAAATTCTCTGCACTCTGCCCAAAGATTAGCTATGAGTCTCAGCATCAGCTTTAATACCCTGGTGGGTAGAGTCTTTCAGAGGCCCTCTGTGGGAAGCTCCTGTCCTGTTCCCTGTGTTCTCCTACTTCCAATGTCTATCCTATTTGCCCTTATGAATGAGGATTAAGTCTCTTCCCTAGGGTCCTCCTTGTTGTTTAGCTTTTTGTGGACTATGGATTTTAGTATGTTTCTCCTATATTATATGGCTGTTATCCACTTATAAGTTAGTATATTCTGTGTGTGTCTTTCTTCTTCTGGGTTACCTCACTCAGGATGGTCTTTTCTAATTATATCCATTTGCCTGAAATTTTCATTTCCCTGTTTTTTAAAATTATTATTTTTAATTTTTTTATATTAGAGTTTATTTACTTTGTATCCCAGCTGTAGCATCATCCCTCATCCCCTCCCAAACCCACCCTCCCTCCCTCATCTCCTCCTATGCCCCTTTCTAAGTACACAGATAGGAGATGTCCTCCTCTTCTTCCATCTGACCCTAACTTATCATGTCTCAGAAGAACTGGCTGCATTGTCTTCCTCTGTGGCCTGGCAAAGCTGCTCCCTTGTCAGGAGGAGGCTGTCAAAGTGCTAGCCAGTGAGTTCATATCACAGACAATCTCTATTCCCCATACTAGGATATCCACTTGGATACTGACATGCCATCAGCTACATCTGAGCAGGGGTTCTAGGTTATAGCCATGAATGGTCCTTGGTTGGAGTATCAGTCTCAGAAAAGACCCCTATACACAGATACTTTGGTTCTCTTGCTCTCCTTGTGGAGCTCCTGTCCTCTCCAGGTCTTCCTATCTCCCCCTTCTTTCTTAAGATTCCTTGGACTCTGCCAAAATTTGTTTATGAGTCTCAGTATCTGCTTTGATACACTGCTTGGTAGAGTCTTTCATAGGCGCTCTGTGGTAGGTTCCTGTCCTGTTGCCTGTTTTCTCCTTCTTCAAATGTCCATCCATTTGTCTTTCTGAGTGAGGATTGATCGTCTTACCCAGGGTTCTCTTTCTAGCTCAGCTTCTTTAGGTATACAGATTTTGTAGGTTTATCTTATAGTATATGTCTAGTATCCACATATAAGTGAATATGTACCGTGTGTGTCTTTGTGCTCCTGGGATACCTCACTCAGGATGATCTTTTCTAGATCCCACCATTTGCCTGCAAATTTCATGATTTCCTTGTTTTTAATTGCTGAGTAATATTCCATTGTGCAAAATCACCACAATTTCTGTATCCATTCCTCCTTTGAGGGACATCTGGATTGTTTCCAGGTTCTGGCTATTATGAATAAAGCTACTATGAACATTATTTGAACAAATGTCTTTCTTATGTACTTGAGCATATTTTGGATATATGCCTAGAAGTGGTATAGGTGGATCTTAACATAACTCTATTCCTAATTTTATGAGAAGGAAACTGATTTCTCAAAGTGGTTGTACAAGTTTACATTCCTACCAGAAATGGAAAAAGGTTCCCCTTTCTCGACATCCTCTCCATCATGTGTTGTCCTTTCAGTTTTTGATCTTAACCATTCTGATGTGTGTAAGGTAGAATCTTGTTTTGATTTGCATTTTCCTGATGGCTAAGGATCTTGAACACTTCTTTAAGTGTTTCTCGGCCATTCGATATTCCTCTGTTGAAAATTCTCTCTTTAGCTCTGTTTCCCATTTTTAATTGGATTACTTGGTGTTTAACTTTTTGAGTTATTTATATATTCTGGATATTAGCCCTCTGTCAGATGTAGTTTTGGTGAAGACCTTTTCCTAGTTTATAGGCCGTCATTTTTTTCTGATGACAGTGTCCTTTTCTTCACAGAGCCTTTTTCAGTTTCATGAGGTCCCCCTTATTAATTGTTGATATTAGAGCCTGTGCTGCTGCTGTTCTGTTCAGGAAGCTGTCTCCCATACCAATGAGGTCAAGGCTCTTCCCCACTTTTTCTTCTAAGAGATTTATTGCGTCTGATTTTATGTTGAGATCTTTGATCCACTTGGACTTTTCTTTTGTGCAGGGTGACAAATATGGTTCTATTTGCATTTTTCTACTTGTAAATATCAGTTAGATCAGCCCCATTTGTTGAAGATACTATCTTTAAATTTATTTAATTTTATTCACTTTGCACAATTTTTCTATCCCCATCCCACTTCAACTTCCCGTCTCACTCTCCCTTCCTCCCCCTTTCTTATTGCCTTAGAAAAGGGAAGGCCCCTCATATCCACCCTAGGTCTTCAAGTTCCATCAGGACTGAGCATGTCCTCTTCTCTTTCGGCTGGAAAGGCAGTCCTGCCTGGTGGAAATGATAAAAAATCTTACAGGGAAGCCCCCTCCAGGTTCAGTTCCTACTTTCCTCTACCTGAGTACCCACATGAAGCCTAAGCTGCCCATTGGCTAACATTTTGTATGTTGGGGGGATCTATGTCGAGTGCATTTATGGACTTTGGTTGATCCTTCAGCCCTCAGCAAGTCCCTCTGGGCATTGTTAGTTGGCTCTATTTTTCTTCCTTTGGATCTGTTGTCATCTTTTGGTAATTTTCTTTTTCCTCCTAATTTTCCACATGTTCCCCTATGCATTGCCCAATATTTGGCTGTGATTCCCAGTATCTGTTTTGAGATTTTGCTGGACAAAGACTCTCAGAGAACAACTCTGACAGTCTCCTATCTGCAGGCTTAACAGAGTATTGTTCATATTGTCAGGAGTTGGCACTCTCCCATAGGGTGGGTCATTTGTTGGGCCAGGCATTGGTTTGGCATTCTCTTAATCTCTGCTCTATATTAATCCCTGCACATCTTGTTTGCAGGGTAAATTGGGTCAAAATTTTTGTGGGTGTGTTTCTGTTCTCCCCGCTCAACTAGAAGATTTGTTTAGTTAGGTGTCCTCTTTGAGATCTATAGCCTCTGCTACTAAGAGTCTTTGCTTGAATCTCCCTCATATCCTCCCAGGAGCCTGCCATGACTTAGACCTACAGCTTGTCATAGAAATGTCCCTACCCTCAGTTTCTTTTCTGTCCTCTTTCCCCTATTCTACAGAGGTCTAATCTCCACCTTCATGCTTCTCTGTGCTTCCTCTCCTACCTCATTCCCTCTTTTTGACCACTATATCTGTCTCTTCTATTTTCCCTTCCAAGTGAGATTAATACATCCTGCCTTGTTATTTATCTTCTTGTTATTTATCTTCTTCGGGCCATTTTGCTTATCAATCTGTAGGATTACCATACTAAAAATGGCTATCTTAACAAAAAGAATCTATAGATTCAATGCAGTCCCCATCAAAATAGTAGCACTGTTCTTTACAGACTTTTAAAGAATAATTCTAAACTTCATATGGAAAAACAACAACAAAAAAGACAGAATACTTAAAACAATCATACATAATGAGAGAATTTCTGGAGGTATCTCTAATTTGACTTCAAACTATACTACAGAGCAATAGTAATTAAAAAAATCATGGTAATGGCATAGAAATAGACTGGTTGATCAATGGAATTGAACAGAAGACCCAGAGATAAACTCACATATCTATAATCACTTAACTTTTGACAAAGGAGCCAAAACCATACAATGGGGAAAAAGAAACCATCTTTAACAAATGGTGCTGTTTTTCCTGAATGTCTACATGTAGATAAATGTGAATCTACCCATATTTATCTCCCTGTACAAAATTCAAATCCAAGGGTATCAAAGACCTCAATGTATTGCCAGATACACTAAATCTAGTAGAAGAGAAAGTGGGGAAAAGCCTCAAACTCATTGGCGTAAGACACAACTTCCTGAACAGAACACCAACCACTCAGGCTGTAAGATCAATTAATAAACAGGACCTCATGAAACTGAAAGGATATTGTTCAATTTAGTAAGAAGCAATAATTTAATTTCTGGTGCTTACAGACTTAATAAAACCTTTTTTAAGTTCAGAAATTTAAAAATTGAGTATTCAACTAAACAAAGGTTTTTCTAATATATATTATTACTAGTTACTTGAAAACTATGTAAGTTCACATAGGCTTTCTGTTTTATAGACAAAGTATAAATTACTACAATAAGTTAATTTGAAACAGATGATCTTACCATTGTGTACTTATGTGCCACATTCTGGAGCTCCACACAGCCTTGGGCATCTCCAAATGAGCGAATACCTAGGCAGTTTGAAGGGTGAAGCTGCTTTATGAGGAAATTACAGCAGACATCAATGACCTGAGTCAGCTGTAAGAGACATGCCGCAGCCAGCAAATTTTCAATGGTGTCTTCTCTCAGTTGCAGCACACCTAAATGGTTTAAATTTGGAAAGAATGATTAGACATCACATAAAATGGAACACATATATGTTATGTGATGTTTTTCTTACCCTTCATAGGGCATCTATACCTTTTAATGTTCAGTAGCTTTACTAGCAATATGATTTAATTTTCACTTAAGAAATACAAAAGAGTTGTGTACATACAGACAAGGAAGAAAAAGGCTGTCATACAAGACTATATGAAATGACAGTAGCAAATGAATAGTGAATATTGTAAGGAATGCTAACTTAATATTTGCTTGTAGACTTAGAGCTTGCATTTTAATCTTATATTATTTCATATTTTGTACACACATAAGAACATCATTATGAACTCAAACTACTATTAAGTTCTTAATCATGTATAAATGAGGCAGAAAACCTCACATTATGAGCTAAGAATATAATATTTTATTTTCTAAGGATCATAAAATTAGTCATAGGTATAATTACCATTTTTGTACAGGTATAGATCTTGGAAAACAATAGACATACAAATATTTTTATCTACTGTGTGTATGCACATTAATTATTTGGTAAGGTTAACTTTGCCCAAGTATTATGCCCAGAATTCCCTCTGACAATATCTCAGAATGAAGCGAATATTGCAATGAGTTCAAAACTGAAAACTACTAAATTGCAGCAACACTTTGGCAATTGTCACATATGAAATTATCACTTATGATTTATAAATTTAAATTTGTAAGTTTCAAACGTGTTTATAATGCTTTATCCATTGTTTTAGAGAGCATTATTTTTATCTTATTACAAACATTTGTAAATAAAATATATCCTTATGTTTGTCATTTTAAGTTAGAGAAGATTTCAACATTGTTTCAAAAGTTTTACATAAGCAATATTGTTGGTAAAAGCGTTTTCATTCTAAAAAACCTTATATGTTTTGCACAACCACAAATAAAATAAAATGTATATATTGCTATTTGCTCACTATATTTTAATTTGTAAAGTAGATGTATGCAGTACATCTCCACATTTTCATGTGTTATTTCTTGAACTGCAATTTAAAAGAAGAGAACTAGATGAGGGAGGGGGCTATAGCCAGGATATAAAGTGAATAAATTGTGACAAATAATAATAAAAGGAACAGTAAAAAGTAAAGAAGAGAACTGCTATTATATCCTAAAACAAGAAGTATAAGTATATGCTCTATTTTTAAACTACCAAGTTCCATTATATTCTTTTTTTTGAAATTACTTAGTTAATTAATTAATTACAATCTATTCACTCTGTGGCCCTCTCATTTCCTCCCAATCCCACCCACCCTCCCTTTTCTCCACCTATGCCCCTTCTCTAGTCCACTGATTGGAGAGGATTTCTTCCTCTTCTATCTTGACCCTAGCCAATCAGGACTCACCAGGCCTGGCTGCATCTTCTGGGGCCTGGTAAGGCTACAACCTTCAGGAAGAATGGATCAGAGAGCCAGCCCCTGAGTTCATGTCAGAGACAGCCTCTGTCCCACTTAAGAGGGAACCCAATGGAAACTGAGCAGGGGCTCAAAGTTTTCTCCAGGCATGGTCTTTGGTTGGAGTATTGGTCTCTGCAGGCCATCCTGGACCCTAGTTTTTTTGGTTCTCATGGTCTCCCTGTGGAATTCTTGTACCCTCCAGGTCTTTCTATCTCCCTCTTGTTCCATAAGGTTTCCTGCATTCTGTTCAAAGTCTCAGTAACTCATTCCATACCCTGATGGGTAGAGTCTTTCAGAGGCTCACTGTGGAAGGTTCCTGTCCTGTTCCTTGTGTTCTCCTACTTTTGATTTCTAACCCATTTGCCCATCTTTTTGAAAATTTTATTTGTTATATTACTTAGAGGTTATTCACTTTGTATCCCAACTGTAGCAAAATCCCTCATTCCAGCTGATCCCACCCTCATTCCTTCATCTCCTCCCATGCCCCTATCCAAGTCCACTGATATAAGAGGTCCTCCTCCACTTCCATCTGATCCTAGCCTATCAGGTCTCATCAAGACTGGCTGCATTGTCATCCTCTGTGGCCTGGTAAGGCTGATCCCCCTTTGGGGGCAATGATCAAAACTCAGCCACTGAGTTCATGTCATAGACAAACCCTGTTCCCCTTACTAGGGTACCGATGAGGAGACTGAGCTTCCATGGGTTACATCTCTACAGGGGTTCTAGGATATATCCATGAATTGTCCTTGGTTGGAGTATCAGTTTCAGAAAAGACCCCTGTGCTCAGATTTCTTGGTTCATTTGCTCTCCTTGTGGAGCTCCTGTCCTCTCCAGGTTTTTCTCTATCCCCCTTCTTTCATATGATTCCCTGCACTCTGCCCAAAGTTTGGATATGGGTCTCAGCATCTGCTTTGATACCCTGCTGGGTAGAGTCTTTCAGAGGCCCTCTCTGGTAGGATTCTGTACTGTTATTTGTTTTCTCCCTCTTCTGATGTCCATCCCATTTGCCTTTCTTAGTGAGGGTTGATCATCATACCCAGGGTCCTCCTTCTTGCAAAACTTCTTTAGGTGTACAGATGTTAGTATGTTTATCCTATATTATAAGTCTAATAACCACTTATAAGTGAGTACATTCCATGTGTGTATTTTTGCTTCTGGAATACCTGACTCGGGATAACCTTTTCTAGATCCCACCATTTGCCTGCAAATTTCAGGATTTTCTTCTTTTCAGTTGCTGAGTAGTAGTCCATTGTGTAAATGTATCACAATTTCTGAATACATTCCTCAGTTGAGGGGCATCTGGTTTGTTTCCAGGTTCTGGCTATTACAAATAAAGCTGCTACAAACATGGTTGAGCCAACATCCTTGTTGTGTACTTGAACATATTTTGGATATATGCTTAGAAGTGGTATAGCTTCATCTTGAGGAAGCACTATTCCTAATTGTCTGAGAAAGCACCAGATTGATTTCCAAAGTGATTGTACAAGTTTACATTCCCACCAGCAAGGGGGAAGGATCCCCTTTTTACACATCCTCTCCAGCACGTCTTGTCACTTGAGTTTTTGATCTTAGCCAATCTTATGTGTGTAAGCGAAATCTCAGTGTAATTTTGATTTGATCTTAGAGCCTGTGCTGTTGGTTTTCTGTTCAGGAAGTTCATTATTTACGTTAGATTGTTTGAATTTTTATATTATCTTGGTTTAACTTTATTAATTCGTGTGTGGTTATTAATTTATTTATTTCTTTTAGATTTTCTAATTTATTAGAACATATTTTCAAATATACTCTAATGATTCTCTGAATTTGATTGGAACATGCTCTGATGTTTTCCCTTTCCTCCCTAATTTCATTGAAGTTGTTTATTATTTTTAAACACCCAACTCCTTGTTTTATTGTTCCTTTGTGTCATGTTATGCTTATTTATTTAATTAATGTATTTCCTGATATTAAATATTGTTTCTTAATTGCTAATATTTACATTGAATTGTTGTGTTACCAATAGTGTACATTTGATGCTTATTTGAGAAGCCAAAACCCTGTAATTGAAAAATAACAGCATCTTCAACAAATGGTGCTAGTCTAACTGGATGTCTACATGTAGAAAAATGCAAATGGATGCACATTTATCACCTTGAACAAAATTAAAGTTCAAGTAAATCAAAGACCTCAACATAAACCCAAACACACTAAATCTGTTAGAACAAAAACTGGAGAAGAACCTTGACCTCATTGGTACAGGAGACAACTTCTTGAGGAGAACACCAATAACATAGGCTCTAATATCAACAACCAATAATTGGGACCTCATGGAGCTGAAAATCTTCTGTAAAGCAAATGGACATTGTTATCAGAAAAAAAGGGCATCCTATATACCAGGAAAAGATCCTCACCAACCCTACATCTGACAGAAGGCTCATATCCAGATTATATAAATAACTGAAGAAAATAAACACCAACAAACCAAGAAATCCAATTAAAAATGGGCACAGAGCTACACAGAGAATTCTCAACAGAGGAATATCTATTGGCAGAGAAACACTTAAAGAAATGATCAACATCCTTAGTCATCAGGAAAATGCAAACTCAAACACCCTGAGATTATACCTTACACCCATCAGAATGGCTAAGATCAAAAACTCAAGGGATGATGCATGCCGGAGAGGCTGTGGAAAAAAGGGACCCTCCTCCATAGCTGGTGGGTATATAACCCTGTAAAACCAGTTTGTAAATCAATGTGGTACTTTCTTAGAAAAGTAGGTCTAGTGCTACCTCAAGATCCAGCTTTACCTCTCCTAGGCATATACCCCCAAACTGCCCCACCGTTCAATAAGGTCATTTGTTCAATTATGCTCATAGCAGCTTTATTGGTAATAGCCAGAATCTGCAAACAACCTACGTTGGTATAATGTTCTTTTTGGAATGTATACACTTTACCCTTTTTCATTCAAATGCTGATTTCTCTCCTCCACTCTCTGGTTTCAATCCGGACATTGCATTGTGATACTTGTTCTAAGCATCACCTGTCTCAACGTTGTGTAAACATGCCAAAATAAAGCAACTAGCCACAATGTTGAACAAGGGAAAGGAAGCAGGAAGAAAGGGAGGAGCCAGAGGACAGAAAGGTGTGAGGAAGAGGAGGAGAGAAGGGCAGGAATGCTGGGAGAACAGAAGCAGGAGAAGTGATCTTGGAATGACGTGGAGAGATGGACTGAACCTAATATATCACTAAAAACAAGTATAATGTGGGAAATCTAAATGTTATTAAACTATGATGGCTTGGAGGTTTAGGATGGAGTAACTATTGCCCAGCATTGTGTTCTAGGTTCATTAAATAAATCCTTGTGTCTGTGTGGTGATTTGGTTATACAGCTGTTTAGGATTAACAGCAAGCATTACTAAAAGATAATTATTAGTAAAACTTAATCGATGATTACAACAAACCTAGATGTCCCTCAATAGAGGAATGAATACCGAAAGTGGTATATTTACATAATGGAATACTATTCAGCATTTAAAAACATGGAAATCATGAAATTTGCAGGGAAATCGTGGGAGCTAGAAAAGATCATCCTGAGTGAGGTAACCCAGAGCAAAAGACACATACGGTATATGCTCAATTATAAGTGGATACAAGCCCTATAATATAGGAGAAATATACTAAAATGTATTCCTAAAGAAGCTAAACAACAAGGAACACCCTAGGAATGATGCTTAGTCCTCAGTCAGAAAGGTGGACAGGATATACATTGGAAGTAGGAGAATACAAGTAACAGGACAGAAGCTACCTGAGAGGACCTCTGAAAGAATCTATCTACCAGGGTATAAAAGGTGATAATGAGACTCATGGTCAGACTTCGGGCAGAGTGTCCAAAAGACAAGAAAAAGAGGGAGATAGGAAGACCTGGAGTGGACAAGACCTCCACAAGGAGAACAACAGAGCCAAAATACTGGGGCCCAGGTAGACTGCAGAGACCAATACTCCAACCAAGGACCTTGCATAGGAAGGACCAAGACCCTTGTTCAGAGGAAGGCCACAGGCTGCTCAGTTTCCAAGTGGTTTCCTTAGTAAGGGCTACAGGAGCTCTCTCTGACATGAACTCTTTGGCTGGATCTTTGGTCACCTCTCCCTGTGGGATGAAGCCTTGCCAGGCCACAAAGGAAGATGATGGAGCCATCCTTGATGAGACCTGATAGGCTAGGTTCAGATAGAAGAGGAAGAAGTCAACCCCTATTAGGGGACTAGGAAAAAGACATAAGGAGAGATGAGGGAGGGTTGTTGGGACTGGGAAGAGACAAGGGAGGAGGTTTTATTGGGATACAAAATGAATAAACTGTCATAAATAAATAAATTAATTAAAAACTATATTTTTAAAATGAATTTTTATTTTTTATATTAATTAGTTTATTTACTTTGTATTCCAGCTGTACCCCCTCCCTCATTCCCTCCCAATCCCACCCTTCTTTAAAAATTTCATAAATAGTTGCTTATTTGAAATCTCTTTAACTTTTAAAAATTAATTCATTTATTACAATTTGTTCACTTTGTATCCCAGCTGTAGGCCCCTCCCTCATCTCCTCCCAGTCCCAACCACCCTCTTTCTTCTACCTCTATGTCCTTTCCCTAGCCTACTTATAGGGGAAGATCTCCTCCCCTTCTATCTGTCCTTAACCTATAGGTCTCATCAGGACTGGCTGCATCATATTGAATGTAGATATGTATAGTTACAAATTTTGCTCTTTGAACTATTTCTAGTATGTTATAATTCCATTTTCCTTTAATGTGGGAATTTTTTTTTTGAGTACTGGGATTACAGGCGTCTACCACTACACCAGTTTGAATGTGGGAATATTTTAATATCCTCATATCTGTGATTGATACGTTAATCATTTAATAATACCATGTCAAATGCTCATGAATTTGCTTAGTTTCTGTGTTTCTTTTGTTGGTTTGTAGTTTTACCCCATTGTAATCACAAAGATTCTATGTTTATCTTTATAACTGTTCTAACTTTTTAATGACTTATCCATGTCCAAGAATTTACAACTGTCTATAACTCCAGGTCCAAGATCTTATAACCATTTTCAGCCTTTACTTAAACATTCTTGTGTTTTTATGTTAAAATAGCTTTCTCTTTTCCTGGTAATAATATTTAACAGCATACACTTTATATTATTATAATGGTGATTAATCCACAATTTCATCTTTTTACCATTTTTAGAAAGTGATTTACTACTGTATGGCATATTTTTCATACTTGAAACACATAAATACTTATACATTTGCTATATAATGTAGAGTTAATGTTAGTTAATAGACATTGAAAGCTTACCTGTATAAGCATACTGAACCAAAGAATTAAGTGCGTTTGGATCTACTCCTTCCATCCTGACCTCTTCTTGTTTTGCTTCAAGCACGTCATTAGTAAACATTGCAGCAAAATAATCAGACACAGCACTAAGAACCAATCTAAAAAGAGAAATTTTGAATCAATGATTATATGAGTCAATAGTATCACAGATAATCATGCAATGCTTTCAATAAGTTTGTAAGTAAGCTTTTAGTAAAAAGCTTACTAAACTTTTTCCATAAAAAAAGTTACAGTTGTCAGCCATGGTTGCAAATGTCTTTAATCCTAGGGCTAGGGAGGCATAGCCAGGGAGTTTCTTGAAGTCCAGGTCAGCCAGGTCAACATAGGAAGTTCCAGGCCAGACTGGATTACATAGTAAGACCTTGTCTTAAAACAAATATACAAAATATTACTGATGATACAGCAATTAAGTAGGCTGACATTTTTAGGGCTTGGGTTGTTTTGGTTTTTATCATTAACATCACCAACTTTAACTCTCTATAACTACTGCAGAAGAAAATATTAACTTTTCAAGATTTCAACGTAAAAAATGGTTTCCTCATGGTCCAATGTTTAAGCAGTTTACAAACTCTTCCTTACTCATTCTTGTAGTATTTGGAAGTTCTGTCTGCAAAAGGATATTTACCGATGAGCTGGGATTTTGAGAGGTCCTGCAATAAGTAGCACATCACACAATTTTTTCTCTTTCAGATAGTTTTCCATTTTACAGAGAGTATAATCTGCATGGTTTCGAGAACGGAAGTGATCCTCAGAACTAATATTCATTTCTTCAGGTTCCTCAATGTGTAGTCTGAAAGTTAAAATGGGAATATGATTTATCATGTCATTATTTTACACATCTCAACTTTTTCCTAATTAATATGTATATATTTACTAGAAACCAAGTCAAGACTTATATATAAAAAATATTGAGTAAATTACATAAAAATTTGCTTTCCATAATAAATATGTCACGACTATTACTGCCTCATCTTCTCAACGTCCTTTTAAATGAAGTCATAGAGTTTTTATTCTTAACAACATTATAACTGAATTTGTTTCAATCTGATATTTTTATGTGTGTAAACATAATCAACAAAATATCACCCCATTTTGTAATATTTCTTCAATTCTAATGGCATTCACAATGATGTGTTTATATTCAATCGAAATAATATTTTCAATCATATATAGTAGGTGCTTATGTTAGAAATACTTTTTTTAAATATTTAAAGTTTTTTGTACAATATAATTTCATCATACTCTTTCTCTACCTCCAAGTCCTGCAGCTTTTATCCTACCAACCAACTTCAAGTTGGCTTTTTCTCTTAAAAACAACAACAACAAAATAAGAAGACAAAATGAAAACAAAACAGGCAAACTTAAGAAAACCAATAAAAGAAAAAATACCCAAAACAACAACAAAATAATTAGCACAGATAAACATGCAATCTGGTTGTTTTGATTTTGTTGGTCTGTTTTTGTTTTTTTCTTTTTTTTTTTTTTTTGCGGGGGGGTGGTGACCAACTGTTACTGGTAATCCTGGACATTGGGCTTGCTCTAGATTGATTGATATATATAGTGGCACTCAATTGGAGAACACGGATTTTCTTTTTCTCAACATGTGTAAGTTTCAAATATCTTTTTCATTAAGGGTGACACCTGTTCATTTCTCCTTCTCAATTCTGGGTTTTGTCTGGTTTAACCTATACAGGACTTATACATAGTGTCATAAATTATGTGAGTTTATATGTGTATCAATCCTTCTGGAAGAAGTGTTTTCTTCGAGTAATCCACCTCCTCTGAGTCTTCAGATCTTGATGACTATAGTTTCAAGATATCATACCTTCTTTTACAATATAAAACCCAGAAAACAACTATGTACATTTCCATCAGGGTCATTCATCTTTCAATATGTAGTGTTTGGACAAATATAAGGGTAAGGAAATTTTTACCAACGAAAGTTGAATTTAAGCATTCTAAACTCAACAATGGTAAAATTAAATGCCTACAAGAACACAAACACAGTAAATGTTTTAAAGTTTGATAGTTGGAGTAATTCATTAAAAGATATAACATATATACATACTTATTTATGTGCTAGTTTTTATGATTTATTTGTTTGTTTTTTATTAGCAGATATTCACTGTGTGTAATTATGAAGTCCATGAAAATGTTGTTGCACTTTCAACTTTAAGCGAAATTATAGAATTTCAAAGATTTAAAGAGTCTTTCTTTTAGTTTTGAGATTGTAATATAATTACAACATTCTCCCTTCTCTCTCCAATGCCTCCTTTAAATGATTGCCACTAAATACATTTTCATTTAATTGTATTTGTTCCTCTAACATATTCCATTATCCATCCTTTTCTACTCCATAGCATTATCACCCACTCTTTTCACTGATACTCCTACTAATACTATCATATGTGATGTAGGTTCTACTTATCAACTCCGTAATCATGAAACAAAATTATAGTTTCTGGTACTTCAGTCAAGCCAATGTACTTTTTTTTTTCTTATTAAAGAAAACATTTGATTGAGGTTGGCTTATGTTTCAATAAATTGAAAATTACTGTGAAGATGTAAATAATTTATTCGAAGTGTGGATGATTCTTTAAAAGAAACCACAATTATTTTTATTCTGGATGCTAACAGAAATAATACTGATCAGGTATGTCCTGTGATAACCATGCCCATTCCTCACCAGCAAATTTAAACAATATTTTTTTTAATTATTATTAGTTACACATTATTAACTCTGTAACCCAGCTGTATCTTGGTCCCTCATTCTCTCCCAACCCCACCCTTCCTCCCTCATTTCATCCCTGGTCCATTTCAAGTCCACTGTTTGTGGAGGACCTCCTCCCCTTTCATCTAAACCTCTTTTATCAGGTATCTTCAGGACTGGCTGCAAAGTCCTCTTCGGTGGCCTAACAGTACTGCTCTTCCCTTGGGGGACAGGGAGGTCAAAGAGCTTGCCATTGAGTTACTGTCAGAAATAATCCTTGTTCTCCTTCCTATGGGAAACCAATTGGTTACTGAGCTACCACGGGCTATATCCAAGCCGAGGTTCTAGGTTATATCCATACATGGTCCTTGATGGAGTGTCAGTCTCAAAAAAGACTCCTGTACCAAGATATTTGGTCCTTGTAGAACTCCTATCCTTTCCACGTCAAACTAACTCCCCTAGAACTCATTGGTACAGGAGAGAACTTCCTGAACAGAACACCAACAGCACAGGCTCTAAGATCAACAATCAATAAATGGGACCTCATGAAACTGAAAATCTTCCATAAAGCAAAAGACACTTTCGTCAGAACAAAACGACAGCCAATGTACTTTTGAAGATAGTTGTTTCAATGTAAAATTCTACCCAAAGCTATTTACAAATTTAGCTCAATACAGTAAAAATACCAACAATATTGCTCATGGATATTGAAGAACCCAGGGTTCTTTTCTACTTTCATATAAATTTTAAGATTAAAAAATGTGAAGGATTTCCAAGATGGCTGTGGTCAAGGCACACTGTGTCTGAGTGGATGATGATCAGATACGGAAAGTTACAGTGAGTGATCTAGTGATGAACCCAAAAAAAAAACTGACATTGGTGCTTCTCCTGGAGAGGACGTTACATATACCAGGTTCACAGATGCACAGTTCCAGCCAAGTGTGTCTCAAAGACACTGTTCAGGATCTTCTGCCTAGTACGATCCTGGTCTGGTGGAGACTACACAGTGCTTTCAGGAGTGCTTCATTCCATCATCCAGACCTGAGACCACTCTAGCTTCCCCAAGAGCTGGTTCTAGACCAGAGGCAACACCCCATACCCAATCCATGATTCTTCTGGTCCCCATGTAAAGACCATCTGGACAAGACAAACTCACAGGGTTCTAAGTCCAAAATGGCAAAGCAAAGCCAAATCGGAATACCAGCTCAGCAGCTACTGCACCAGCAAGCAGCTACATGGCTGAATTTGAATCTATAATGCCAACACATGCATGCCCATTTGTTGAAGTAGCTGACCCGGTAATGACAACACCCACTCATAATCTGCCTAATCTGCCTGACCCACTGGAGCACAGCCACCAGAGGTGTCTTCCAGCCCATGCTCCTTCATCCTATGGAGGCTCAAGTCTGGCAGGGCAACATTCAGCTTAGAGCCCACTCCCCACTGACTCCTGATGTTCCTGACTCAAAATAGGACAAGGCCAGCAGAGGAAGCTATACTTGGGCTCTGATCCTTATCATGTATCATACCAAGGAGGCCAGCATGAAGCCCCTAGTAACTAACATTCAACTTAGAACCCTTTTTATCTACTGCTGAACTCTCTGACAATCAGAGATCACCAGAGCTGCTAACAACAGAAACATCAAAATGGGTAGAGGTCACAAAATGGGTAAGAGCACAAGGTACAAATCCCAGGGCAAATTGACATCATCAGAAACCAGCAGTCTTAACACAGCAAGCCTTGGAGATACTATCTCACCCAAAGCACAAGAAAAAAAAGATTTTAAATCTGAGGTTATAAAAATGATAGAGTCCTTAAAGGATGAAAATAAATCCCTCACACTAGAACAATAAAATTCAGCCAAACATATGAAAGAATTAAACAATCCCTTAAAAGAAATTTTAAAAATATAAGAAGCTACAATAAAATAGGAGAAGAAAATGAATAAAACTGCTCAAGACCTAAAAATGGAACAAGAAGCCATAAAGAAAATCTGATGTTTGTGTTTTCCATCACAATCCTGGAGATGGAAAACTTTGGGAAGAGGACCAGAACTACAGACACAAGCATCACCAATAGAATACAAGAGATGGAACAGGGAATTTCAGGTGTAAATGATATGATTCATGAAATTGATATATCAGTCAAATAAAATGTTAAATATAAAAAGCTCCTGACAAAAAACATCCAAGATACCTGGGGCACTATGAAAAGACCAAGCCTAGGAATAATAGAATTAGAAGAAGGAGAAGATTCCTGGTTTCAAGGCTCAGAAAATATTTTCAACAAAATCATAAAAACAAACTTTCTCAACTTAAAGAAAGAGATGCATATAAACATACATAAAACTTATAGAACACCAAATAGATTGGACCAAAAGAAAAATCATTCCACCACATAATAATCAAAACCCTAAATGTACAGAAGAAAGAGAAAATATTAAAAGCTGTAAGGGAAAAAGGCCAAGTCATATATAAAGTCAAACATATCACAATTACACCTGACATCGCATCAGAAACTCTAAAAGCTAGAAGGGCATTGACAGATGCCATTCAGACCTTAAGAATCCACAGATGTCTGCCACAACTCTTATACCCAGAAAAACTTTTATTCACCAAAGAGGGAGAAAACAAGATATTCCATGACAAAACAAAGTTAAGCAGTGTTTATCTACAAATCCAGCCTTACAGAAAATACTAGAAGGAAAACTCTAACCGAAGGTGGCCTACTATACCCATGAAAACAAAGGCAATAAGTAACCCAGCATCAGCAAAACCAAAAGAAATAGAAATCTCTCTCTCTCTCTCTCTCTCTCTCTCTCTCTCTCTCTCTCTCCCACCAACTACATCAAAACGTCAGTAAATAAAAAACACTGGTCATTAATATCTCTCAACATCAATGGCCTTAACTCCCCAATAAAAAGACACAGGTTAACAGGATGGATGCAAAAACAGGACTCATCATTCCATTGCATACAAGAAATACACCTCATGAATAAAGAGAGACATTACCTCCAAGTAAAAGGATGGACTCGAGAAGCAAGCTGGAGTAACCATTCTAGTATGTAATAAAATAGACT